AGTTTGCGATGAATTGGGAATGTTATCTGGTTATTGAATAGTAATATATGCCTGATGATATGTTTGAGCTTGTTATTTGTGACTTACCAGTGAGACTGATATTTCGACTATTTGATCATGTTTCCTAGTCGTCGTTGAGGTATGAATGGATGGAGAGTATGTATGAGAGGATGTGAAATGTAGGTATGTATCCGAGTGTGATGGTTTTGTGTAAAGACTGGTGTGTGAAGTGAGGTCTTGGTGTGGCTTGAATTTGGAGTGTAGCACAGTGGATTAGATAGTGTGTCTACTGTCTTTGCTATGCCTTTTACTACTTTTCGTAGCAGTGTAAATAGAGTGAATCGATTGTCACGAGAGAAGTATGCGAGCGTGACTAGATGATGAGATGTAATTAAAATTTTCCGTGAAGATGCAGAGAGGATTATACTGCCGACTGGTGAAGTCGGTTAGGTGGTGTATTGTGTGATCGATTGAAGTGGTGATGCATAGGAGTTTTCCACTGGTTTGAAATGCGATTGTGACATGAGTGTGTTGGGATGGTTTGTGTGTTGACATTAGACTGGGGATTGTTTGTTTATGCAGGAACAGTACAGAATGTGTGAATTGTCTGTTGGGCACGGTGCAGTCACTGGTGGTATGATATTGTTACTTCAATTTGGCCGGTTGTTGAGTGACTTACGCCATTCATGTCGCGACTGTGATATGCGATTGCCTATTGTGGTAAGCGTGAGTTTGGGAAGGTGGTTGGGTGTTGTCTAGTGTGCTGCAGTTGAGTGTGTTGTACTATGTGGCTGTGAAACATGGTGACTAGAGGTAGAGGAGGTGATGAGGAGGCCTCAGGTGTCTGGACGACCGTTGGGTTCGTGGCATATGCCGTGTATGTTGCGGTGCCCCGACATGAGTGAGGTGGAGGTGGGGGGAATATTTGTGGTCAGGAGAGGGAAGTGAGTTAGTTGATGATTGATTTGAGTACCTGAATCAACTGAGATGTCTGGTGTATGTGTTACACATGTCGAGTGATGGTCTGCCTCGTCAGGCAATGTTGTCTGGATAATAGTTTGTCATTGGTTTGAATTCCACCTTTTGCTGGATATGGGTTTGGATTTTAACCTTTTTTTGTGTTGGTAACATTTTGATGCTTTTATAAGGGCGGATTTTTGTTATGGAATTATTTATGTGTAGAAGTTTTAGTTTCTTTTTTGTTTTGTATTTTGGTTCTCATGGTTATTTCTTTTCGCCGCTGGATTTTTTTTGTAGCTGTGTGTCTACATTGGATTTGGTTACTGAATCGATGTTCCTGTCGCTCCCTGTTTTCGTTTTTTGTTGCTAGTTGTTAGGAGTTTCTTTTTTCGGTATCACTGGGTATTTGTTTCTGGTCCGATTAGTGTTCTTGAGCGAACTTTGATCAGTTTTTGCGGACTGCGAATTGTAATGCATCAGCTTTACAAAATATTGGAATATTTTTGTGTCAGTGCTTTGGCTACCTTTTCAAGAAGCAGGCCAGCAACTTCATTTATTGCATATAAGATGCATTTCCAATTTGTTTAAGGTCAATGATAGTTTGTTGAGCAATAATAAGCTTCTTATATAGAACGAAATATGTAACACTTACGAAACCAACGTGGATCCTCGCACAAATCTGTATCGGTTCGGGTTACCAAACTTGACGCCAATATTCAGTGAGCAAGTCAAGAGAAAAATATTGATATGAATGAAGACACGGTGACTTCGAAATAATGGAGAATATTTGTAGCTCAGATGGATGGTCTTGGTTGTATTGTGTTCTCTAAGCTGGGTTGTTTAATCGTTAAGCTTTCATCGTCTTGCTAGACGACATCATCAGCACTAACTTCAGTATGAAGTGAGCTGTCAATATCTCTCCATGAGTGATTTAGTGGCTTACTCTGACGATGTGGCCTGTGATTAGTTGTTTCCTTCGATTGTTGTGTCATTGATTGTATAGACTTTCCTGTTGGTTGTTCCTCTGCTTGACCTTTGACCTTTCTGTCGTTTATCATTTTTCTTATTGGCCACCCTCTTCGCCTTCGTCTACATGAGCACCAATTGGCTACTAAACGCCACGATATTTCGTCACTCATTTCAATGTACGTGGATAATTCATGGACATGAATTCAATTTCGACAATGTAGAAATTTTGTACAGAGGAAATACAAAGAATGTCAGAGAATTCCTAGAAGCTTAGCATTCAGGTCAGTCAGCAATCAACAGATGCATAGACATAGACCCAATCTATCGACCAATAAGAAAAATGATAAACGACAGAAAGGTCAAGCAGAGGAACAACCAACGGGAAAGTCTATACAATCAATGGCACAACAATCGAAGGAACAACTAATCACAGGCCACATCGTCAGAGTAAGCCACTAAATCACTCATGGAGAGATACTGATAGCTCACTTCATACTGAAGTTAGTGCTGATGATGTCGTCTAGCAAGACGATGAAAGCTAAACGATTAAACATCCCAGCTCAGAGAACATATACAACCAAGACATGGTGACTTCGCTTTACGCGAGCTATGATACCAAGACACTTGTGTTCAAAATCCTGCAAACACTTCATATCCCCTACCACCACCACGGCTATATAACATGACAGAATATACTTCAGCACAGTATGCTAGTCGTTTGGTAGATAGTCGAATTTCTCGTCTGTCAACATCAGAGTTGATGCAAGTTGGCAAATCGTAAGTGAACCTTCTGTATCTGAGCTGATTTTGTTAGAAACCAGTCTGTTTGGACTGATGCAACTCCCGCTTAAGGAGTGGTCAGTCTTCAACTAAATCATTTCTCATCTTTAAATTGGCAGTTGCAGACCACTCTACACTTGACAGATGCGAAACGCAAGCCAAATATACACAGATTTCTGCTTTAGACACTCTGGGTTTTGTCAGCAGCTTCACCTAACATGACTACCGTCTGTTTACTCCAAGTTAGCCAGGTGTTCTGTAGAGAGTACATCAAGCCCTGTGAAGTCAGATGAACCCAAGGTTATGTCCATTAATAAATCGATAACGAAGATGAAATGAAACAGTGACAGTAGGTATATATGTCGGACACCACTAGTTGACGTCGATTTACGTCACTGTCACAGTGTGCAGTAAGATTGACAAAATACTTCATTAGAAGCCGCAAACCCCTGAAGCCTTTTACGACCAATTATGTTGCACAGAAATTTCGAGAGAAAGAACATTAACCAAATTGTAAGTATCAGATTGTTGAACAGACAAAATCAGTAGGACATTCATATTTAGAAAGACCTGGAAACAGCCAAGGCCACTGCAAAGAAGATACACAAACCAATTTATTATATATATATATATATATATATATATATATATATATATATATATATATATATATATATATATATATATATATATATATATATATATATAACGTTGCAATAAATAAATATTTTATTCTCACATTGGTAACTTAACATGGGAGAAACCAGTTTACAGGGATCATCATATTGATATATGTCGAAAAACCAAGATTTCACGGGTCCTGAATAGTGCAGAGGGGAGGTCGTCAAACTCTATGGAAAACATCAGAAGATCGCGGTTATAAGACAAAGAAAAAAACCCACTTTACAGCATAAGCAGAGCGTCAAAGTGAAGATGATACACCTGTTACCGTATCGCATTTTCCATTTATCAGCAAAACTGAGAGACCATTAAGGGGTGGAGTCTGAAGGTTGTTCAAGCGTCCATATATCTATAATTAACGTTATATCAAGTAGTCACTACAACAGTGTAACAATCAGAACTCTCCATAAACCCTAATACTGCTGCATTAGTTCAGTAGAGTTTTGATTAGCGTCATATACTTGCTCAGCACTTCTTTCACAACCAGATACTGCCACACCTCACAGTCGAATGCTGCCTTAAGGTCAAAAAGTGTGGTGTCAGCCGCCAGGAAGTATGTCTGTGTTCTAGGACCCGTCGAAAGGTGGGAATGTGGTTGCTTCGTCCAGGTCTGAGGTTTGTTGTTCTTGAGCTCCAGTTAGGTGTGGATCTTAGATATATTGGTCAAACTGATTCCCCTTTAACATAAAGTTATGTTTGGACAAATCTCAGCGTGATTAAAATACGAAATTCCAACGTTTCGCAAGGAAGTCTCGTTCGAGCTTCTTCAGGGAAATATTCAAAATCCACATCCTAGATATATATAGCATGTCAGAAATCGTATAGTTCATTTCACTGTCCAATCGTAACTGGATTGTTTTTCAATAGGATTATTAGTCATTTACACAATGGTGTACTGGTGCATACGATTTCCTTTTGTTTTCTTATGAGATTTCTTCATTTTTATAAACAAATGATTAGTGAAGTAGAACAATCTATCGGGACTACACCTGACTACCATACACTAATTATTACTTCCGTTACTCTAGTCAGCAGTTTCCTATCTCTATCATTAAAAATTTCAAGAGGCAAACAGTTAAGTCCAATTGCTTTGCATCGTTTTAGATTCCAAACAGCCTTCTCAAAATATATTTAACATAAACTGAATAACTTATGAATGCACATGTATCACGTCGATTTTAACTTGATTTCAGGAAAGACGAAATTCTACACAACTTTATTATTTATTTCACATTGAATTTATCCTTTTTTATCCTTCTGTTTAGGCTAGTTCATGTACATCTGTCACATATAAGAATGTCCTGATTGTTCAGTATAACGACCGACGGTAATGCGGTCTGAATACTATAGTGAAGCCGAAATGTTCTACAATAGAAATTGGAACCCACTCAGCAGATCGAAAAAGAGAGGACAACGAAAAGAAGAACCTATCAGGCGACACAAGACAATAAGAACCCCGGTTCGCAAGCGTCCAAAAGCAGCCGAATCACTGAATTTTTCCACTCAAGAAAGAGTTAACGAACAAATAAAGAACACTTTTAGCATTTGTACACGAAACATATTTTATTTGATGCCATACAAGAATATTGTATATGACTATTTTTAGTTCCCTATCTGCACAGTTCAGTTAGCGTTTCATAGACGTCACCCTGATGCTCTTTCAGATATCGTTCAGCTGTTAGCTTGCTAACTTCCATTTCTTGACACTAAAAACAAAACAAAGAAGATTCAAAATTCGAAGAGAAGAATCAAAATCAGCTAAAAGTCATGAATTCAAAGAATCCAACAGAATTTGCTTGTTTATTTTGTAATACTTGCTAATGTTATATGCAGAAAACATTCAAGAACTAAGCTTCTTAAGAATGAGTGTAGCCTTGTGATTTCCTTCCGTCAGATATTAATGTGTAAATAAAGTAAGGTCAAAATATATCACTAATAAGCAATTAATAGACGTGACTGACCGACGAAATCAACGTAGAATCTGGCATACATGTGTATCCGTTTTAAATTGCCACACTTCATAAAAGTACACAAAGAGCAGGTGGATAGAAAAAGTGATATCAAAAAAGATAAAGTGGTATGAGAGAATAAACATTGAGTATAACGGATAGCGCAGATGTTCAAGGTTCAAAAGATATCAGGGAATGAATGCATATGCGCCACTGTAACCAACTTTCATCTGTCACCAACAGTCCTCAACCACTTATTCGTCATCTTGTGGACCCCAGGCAGACAGTGTACATCTCTCCACACGGCTGACTAACAGTAGGAGACTTCACAGACTGTCCCACGTCTTAATCTGGTCACCCTTAGCTCTCTTTCGAGCTAATCCAACTTCCCCTAGCATGGCACGTCAAGGTAGGTGGTGGCCGGATATGCACGGTACATGTTCAAGCCATCTTAGTCGACTAAGGTTCACAAATCCATCAATCGACTCGTCTGTCTTGTCTAGATATACAGTAATCTGTGATTAGGTCATAACTATTATGACTTTCAAGTGCTGATCAGTGGAGTGAACAAAGTAATCACTGATGAATTTGATAATCCATTCCAGGTTGAACATATAGAGGCATAGTTTATTAGACCATAATGTTATCTTAGAAATCTATTGTGGAAGGAAATCTCCTATAGAACTGATGTGGTAAAAACGATGCAGTCTTCTTCGTATAACAATGTGTGTCAGATGCGAACGCCAATAAATAGCAAACTATTGAGTTTCGGCCAGCTGTCAACCCTACATCTCAAATGTTCGGTTGCATGCTTCCTAACTCAAAGTTTCTAGACTTAATTCTTACTACAATTCTAAGGTTACGATTAACGTTTATGTGATGTAACCCACATATTCTGAATTGACGTACTTTTTGCTCGAAAAGATGGGTATTTCAATACTGTAAGCGATGCACTTTAACTGGAAGTAGAATTCTTCATCATCATCATCATTATCAACATAGGACCAGGCATTACTGCGTAACGGTCCGAGTTGCCACACTTCATATCAGCACATCAAGTAAAAAGGTAGTGAGGTGAAGGATGAAGATAAGTGAATGCAGTCAAAAGAAATATAAAGTACGAGAAGAAAGGAAAGAGGAGTGACAAAATAGTGAGATTCGGTATAGCCTCGTTAAGATGAGGATAATGTGTGTATACATCTGCGCCACTGACTTCGGTTCTGAGCCATATCACCTAAGGTCTGCAACCACTGGTTCCTCTTGTCCCGTGGACCCCAACCACCTAGTCTGCATCGTCCTACATGGCTTAAACCAACAGTCAGAGACTTCATACATTGGTGCCATGTTTTAGTCTGGCCACCTCGGGCCTTTTTCCAGCCTGAACCCACCTCAGCCAACATTGTGTGACGAGGCAATCGGTGACTAGGCATACGTAGTACGTGTCCCAACCATCTCAGTCGATGAAGGTTCACAACCTCGTCGACTGACTTACCTCTTCTCCCTAAAACTCTACACCTAACTTCTGTATTACTCACATGGTGACACCACGGGATACGTCCTATACTACGAAGGCAACGGTGGTCAAACACCTGAAGCCTTTTGTATCCTCCACTTTCAATGGCCATGTTTCACAGGCATAGAGTAGAACAGAGCGGACTGCTGTGCAGTACACGCGACCCTTAATAGACAAACGAATATCACGGCGGCGCCATAGGTGGCGCAAATTGGCAAAAGCCAATCGAGCCTTTTGTATCCGTGCAGAAATCTCATCGGCAACTAACCCACCGGGTTGATCCTACTTCCCAGGTAAGTGAAGTGGTCAACACACTCAACCACTTCACTCTCTATTGTTAGCCGCGGTACCGGTGAAGACCAGTCCTGGAGCAAAAATTTGCATTTGGGTGGTGAAAATCGCATCCCAAACAGTAGAATTCTTAGCATTCGAAGATACAGTGAAAATTAGAGGTATCAAATCTTCTTCATAAAACCTCAACTATCCAAAGATACTATGTTAACACTACTGCATATTACAACTTCCTGACCGAGTTTCCAAAATCAAATGGTGCTAATTAGTCATCCCAGGGTCACTCGGTGGCTTGCGTCAACTATGCTCAATTTCCACTCACTCCACCTCTGAGGGACGCACTGAGTTACCCATCGATGATTTAGGGGCAAGAGATTCGAATACATCATATCGTGGAATTACCTCAGCTGGGAAACCATTTGACAGGTGTCTCGTGACCCACCTATTGTTGTTGATGAACCCGTTGTACTTACTGTAAGCATTTCTCAGTTTATCATAAGTATTCCGATGGAAAAGTCAGACTTACCGAGAAGCATTTGTTCGTCAAGATGGCTATCCACAATTTCGTTCTCAGAGCCACCTATCGCTCAGACCCTATTCTCCAGGCCTTCCCAGGAACCATTGTGTTGGACTTAAATGTACACCAACAACTGAGTCATAGCAAATAAAACTTCCATGAGAAATATACCTCCGCATCAAAACGAGCTCATTAACAATTCCACCTAGTTTGCAAATCCTTAGGTAATATATGAAGTCCAAAAGCCAACTCAGAGCCATTTCAACATAGCCTGAAAACTATACTGCTAGTCGTATTAGTCTTAGTTTCACTGCTTCATGAATACATCCTGAATCTGAGTTGCATATTCACCTCAATAACATTTCGCCCCAATAATCTTTTGTTCAGGCAGAACTCCTGAAAGATATCGGAATGGAATTGTAAACTCACTGAATGAGTAACTCCTCGTCACTCTCGTACAGCTTTTATTATTGCTGTTATTCTTAGAATACAAAGATGATACAGCAAGGGCACCAGGAAATGCGCCACACAAAATTATATGACATTATGACAAAGCGAAGGGAAGTGGATAAATAAGAAAGAAAATCAATAAGAATAACATGATTAAAAGGGTAGTACAATAAGATACATTCAAAACAAAACATTCGTTACCTTTCATAAGCAGAAGATAGAAGGAAGCCACAGAATGACCGCCACTGGTTTCGATTCTAAGCGATATCTGATAACGTCTTAGGCTCCTGCGTTGCGTGATTTCTCGGACCCCAACAAGTGAGTCGTGATGTACTGAAATGCTAGATCGATACAATTATCATTCATTCCATGGCGCCTTGCTATAAACTGACCACCCTCATCATCATCAATATCAACATAGGACTAGGGATTACTGTGTAACGGTCCAATTTGCCACACCTCATATCAGTACATTAAGTAGAAAGGCAGTGAAGTGCAAGATGAAGACAAGAAAATTCAGTCAAAAGAAATATAAAGTACGAAAAAAGAGAAAAGGAGAATGAGAAAATGGTTAGATTCAGTGTAGCGTCGTTAAGATGAGAATAATGTGTGTATACATCTGCGCCACTGACATCGGTTCTCAGCCATATCACCTACAGTTTCCAATCACTGGTTTCTCTTGTCCCGCGAACCCCACCACCTAATCTGCTCAAACCAACAGTCAGAGACTTCATACATTGGTGCCATGTTTTAGTCTGGCCACCTCGAGCCGTTTTCTAGCCTGGACCTGCTCCCGTCAACATTGTGTGACGAGGCAATCGGTGACTAGGCGTACGTAGTGTGTCTTAACCATCCCAGTCGATGAAGTTTCACAACTTCATCAACTGATTTATCTCTTCTCCCTATAACTCTACACCTGACTTCTGCGTTACTCACGTGGCGACACCACGGAATACGGCCTATACTACGAAGGCAACGGTGATCAAGCACTTGAAGCCTCATGTCTTCCACCTTCAATGGTCATGTTTCACAGCCATAGAGTAGAATAGATCGAACTGCTGTGCAGTACATGCGACCCTTAATAGACAAACGGATATCCCGTCGGCGCCATAGGTGGCGTAAGTTGGTGAAAGCCAGCAGAGCCCTTTGTATTCGTGCAGGGATTTCGTCGACCACTGAGCCAATCACCAGGGCTGATCCTACTTCCCAGGTAAAGTGAAGTGGTCAACACACTTAACCACTTCACTCTCTATTGTTAGCCGTGGCACCGCTGAAGAACAATCCTGGAGCAACAACTTGCATTTGGGTGGTGAGAAACGCATTTCAAACATTCTCAAATCGTCACTCAAAGTGTTCAGAAGACTGCATCTCGTCAGCATCTTCACTTAATAGGACTATGACATCTGTGTATTCTAAGTCTAACGAAAATTCTCCTGCGATTAGGTCAACGACCGTGTAATCAGGAGACGAGAGGGAGACCTCCATAGTAATATCTATGATAAAATTGAATAAGAATGGAGACAGTGGGCACCCTTGACGGACACCACTCGACACTTCAACATACACTCTAACACGCCTATCTCCGTTCCTCTCATTTAGTCCCAGAGCTAGCAAGCAGTGAACGGTATAGAGTCCGTTGAGACGACATGGGTAACATTTCCAAGCCACCAAAACCGGTGTTTTCAGATGACTTCACTTAATGAATGACGATCCTCATCATGGCCTAAACACACTGTCATACATCAGGATTACTTACATGGTGTTGCCACCGGATACGAGTAATCTTACGGAGACAACGATGACCGAACACACGGTTGTACAGTAGAACTGCTCACACCGGAACGCTGTAAGCCTAACTTTCTACTGCCACACTAACGTCGCAAAGGTGGGTCAGATTGGCGTATGCCACTCCGAATTTAGATATGCGGTTAGAAATTTCGTCATGCATACCTCCACCTTACTGTTTGATACCCAAGTCGTCTTAGT